AAAAAAAAAAAAAAAAAAAAATCAATCAAAATGCAACCCAAGATAGCATCATATCAAGGATGAGAGGAGAAGAAAACTAACCGGTATAACAAAAGCTAGAGTCTTGCCAGAGCCAGTTTTAGCAGCCCCAAGAATATCACGGCCGCAGAGGGAGTGCGGGAGAGACGCTCTCTGAATGTCGGTCATCTTCGAATAATTGGCCTCCGATAACCCATCCTTGGTCTTCTTCGACAGAGGTAATTGAGCGAACTTCTCGGAGCCTGCGTACGGGGAGAAAGTGCCATCCGGTAGCCTGCCGATTGGAGACTTTGGCGGTGGCGGAGCAAATGACATCGGGTTGGAGCCGGAATCGGGTTTGCCCGAATGTAACCATGATTCGAGGATCTCGATTTCATTGACCTCAGAGAGGCGATTTTGTAGCTTGAATTTCCTCGATTTAGGTCTTCTCATTTGCCTATGATTAATCGGCGATTTGGGAAGCTTGGGTTTAGGGTTTTAGAGGGAGAGAGGTTTATTATTAAATTTGCTTCGTGTTCCTTCGTGTTCAAAGATTTGAATAATACCAACTCAACAATTTTCTGTTGCAATTTTACCATACACCATTTTTTTTTTTTTTTATTAACTCTATCTTACTTAAGACTACTTTTATCTAGGGGTGGGCAGTCCGAGACGGTCTGAGATTTGACTTGTCACGGTACCGATCCAATTTTTAGGAACTGTTTTGGGAACGGTCTGGGATGAGGCACCGTCCCAAATAGACCGGTATCGTTTAGGACCGAGACAAAATGGGACAAACATATAAACTAAACCAAAGAGTATTGATTCTATTAAAATTTAAATAAACAACCAACATATTAATTCCATGATTTTGATTAAAAAAACACACCGATTCAAGTATTCACTTAGACCAAATTACCAAATAGTATTGATTTCATTATGTAACATATCAATCCATTAAATTTAAGTCGTCACTCACCAACATCTAAGATCTAACATAAACATTGTGTTTAAAACCAAATAACCAAATGTATTGTTTAGTCTTTTTTTTTCCTTTTTGGGCTTGAATGTTTAGTTTTTTTTTTCGAAACGATAGGAAATATTATATAACAAAAACGCACAAACATGCAAAGTACACAGCCCCTAGCTGAATAATACAGCCAACAGCTGAACAAAATTGGGAGGACAGGTCATAAGACCGCCTAGAACCCAACTAGCAACGCTAGAAAAGAAACTCCAACAACACAACACAAAGCTCTAACTATGGAACGACCTCCAACGAGGTGATGTGGAACGACCCCAAACGAGGTAATGTGGAACGACTCCAACGGAGTAATCCCTCTCACAGGGGCCAAATGACCCAAACCAAAGAAACGATACTAAACCAACACCAATCACGAAGACAAAAACAGCAACAAGCAAAAAACGCAACAAAAAAGTAAACACACAAACACCTAAACTACCACACCCTCCCCCAAAGAAAGACGATCCCGAACGAGCGGCAACCGAATCACAGCTCGGCCCCTAGCCAAGGAACAGCTCCTGAAACTGCAATTAAGCCTATACAGAAACCGAAACTCTGCCCCCGAACAAAACTACGAGCCGATCTGCCAACAACCGAGGGTACAAGCTGGTGAGCCACGCCAAACCGGCAGACCCCAAGCGCACCTAACACCACTAGGCTACTCGGGGGCATCGGACTCCGACCAAACCGCAGCAGAGTCGGAGAGAAGGACCAGCTCGCAGCCATATACCCTACTCCTGCAGCACCAACACCGGCCACCGGAGCCCCTCCCCATCCACTGACCACCGCCATCCCATCGCCACCACATCGGCGGACATCACAGCACCAGAACTCCATCGGAGTTGCTTCCTGCAAATGACCAAGGGGAGGCACCAAGGCGCCAAACAGTCGAAGACTAAAGACCGCCTCCCCCTACCAGAGTCAGCCGCCTGCTCCAAGGACCTGCAAGCCACCAGACCCCGCTCGAGAAAGAACGCGAATCTCGCCCACCAACAGCCTAGGGCCAAGCCGCCAAAGCCACCAAACACAGCCAGAGATGAGAGGGAACGACTTCAGGGACAAGCCGGGCAGTCGAGGCGACCGCCAGCCCGGCCTCGCCGACACCGGAGAAGGTGAACTGATCGAATTAAGAGGCGGCGAAAGCTAGGGTTATTTAGGGAAAAATCGCCGTATTTGGGAAATTGTCTGGAAGGGTAGTACAAAGGAGTTCACATTCCCAATAATCACTGAATGTTTAGTTTTGGTTTGGACAATTGAACTTTTGTTTTTTAATATATTATATTAGAAAGTTAGAATGTTATTATAGATTGAACATCAAAATGACCTATTGTTAATTATGTAATTGGTACTATAGTACTGATATAAAATATAATAATAATGTATAATATTTATATATATATATATAATATTTTGTACGAAAAAATAAAACGGGACAAACGGACGGTTCGGGACAAAAATATTTAAAACCGATACCGACATTGTTTAAAACAGTTCGGTACCGGAACGGGACAAAAATAAAGAGAACCTTTCGGAACCTTATTTTTCAGAACGGGACCATTTCGGTCTGGTTCGGTACGGGAAAATTCAGTTTTTTGCCCACCCCTACTTTTATCGGTGACCCCAATGCGTCGGTCACCGATTAAAATAAAAATAAAAAAAAAAAGAGAGAGAAGAAAAAGGAAAGGTCAGTGGGTCGCGCAACTGAAGTCACAACGTAACCCATGGTTGTAACCGTTCTTTCTTTTCGATAATCTTTATCTCGACCCAACTCAACCCAACCTAATAATTTAAAAAAAAATCTCTTTCCTCCATTTACACAACTCAACCTTACAACCAAATTTATCTTTATCTCCACCCAACTCAATCAAAATATTTATTTTATTTTACTTTATCTAAAAAATACAACTGTCTTCCAAAATATATTAAGTATGGTCTCTATTTGCAGAGTATAAAAAATAAATTTTAGTATTTATATTTTATTTTCTTAAAACAAATATATATATATATATATATACACATATATATATTGGAAAAAAAAGGAACAAGTGTCCCCTTCTAAGAAACTACCGGTTGCAACCTTGGGTCACATTGTGACCTCAGTTGCACGACCCACTGCTTTTCCTTTTTATTTTTATTTTTTATTTTTGCTTTTAATCAGTGATCCACTCCTTCGGGTCACCGATAAAAGTAGTCTTAGAATGGGACACTTGTTCCTTTTTTATTGGCCAATTGTAATTTTTTTTTGTTTTAAAAAAAATAAAAAAATAAATACTAAAATTCATACTTTTCATTCTTCACAAATAGAGACCACAATACACTAGATAGCTTTTGGAACGCAATTGCATTTTTTTGATAAAGTAAAATAAAATAAATATTTAGGGTGATTTGGGTTGGGGATAAAGATAAATTTGGTTGTAAAGTTGAGTTGTGTAGGTTTTGTCTCGCACCAGACACCGCCGCCCTCCTCCATAAACCCACTGCCCCCCGCCATCAAAGCTCCGGCACAGACAGCCCGTCTCCCACCGACTACCGTCAGCACATGCCTGATCGACGGCTTAGTGTTAGCTAATTATTTTCGGTATCCGCAAGTGCACGACGTAGCTATAAGTAGTGACGAGCAAGATCATATTCCACTGAGATTGTAGTTAAATTATTTAAGTACTAAAATAGTGACGATTAAATATTATCTAGATTAATGAACTGGATGATGAGTCTAACTAATAAATTAAACTAAGAACTAATATACCTACTAAAATAAAAATAAAATAAGATACAAAAGATAGATTCTAGGATAAGCGTTCCTCGAAAGTAAATCGTGAAACGTTTAAATTTATACAAACCTTATTTAATTTTTACCAATCTTAGAGATAATCGCTAAATGAATTTCAACATATATCTCAAACAAGTTAAATCGTAGATATTAATTGTTATTTATCTCTTCTCGGCCTCAAAATGAACAACTAGCTCCCATAAGTTCCTAGGATTTTCGTTCTCTGGTAATGTCCTATCAACCTCTCAGCCTGTTTATTCTCTTACGTTATAAATTTTCTAATTCTAGCAATTAATTATCTCCTCTTGGTCTGAAATCAATCACAAATATGTATTCATAGTGGTCATCTACTCATACAATAAATATAAACACAAGAAATTTATAAACGAAAGATAAACTGGAATGTAAATGAAAACTAGATTATAAATCAATCCTAGTTTTAATAAATCCTAGAATCTAAGATAAATCTAGTCTAGAAATACGTTTTCAAAACAAGAAAAATAGATATAAAACGTTGAGTTCGAAAAGCAAAAAGAAAAGGAAAGGAAAAGTTTATTCGACTCCGATGCCTTCTTCTCGAGTTTCTCGCTCGTCTTGCTCATGTTTCTAGCCGCTCAAGGTCTCCAAAGATCTGAAAATATCCCCGAATAATCAAAATTGTGCCCTAGTGCAGCAGACGTGACTCGTGAGGTGAGGATGATCTGCAGCAGCTTCTCAAAAAGAAAGATGGCGGCGCACGGCTGTTCTGTTTCGCTCCACGGCGTAGCAGTACAGCTAATGGTCGTTTGGGTCGCCTCCAGATCGTCGGAAATGACGAATTCTGGCCAGCCCCCGACAACAGTTTCTTTTCCCGCGCAAACTCAACTTCCCAAAAAATGAGGTCTGAGACGTCGTAGAGATGGAGGATGATCGTTTTCCGGCATCGAGGTGTCCCGACGGCAACGTGGCGAGCAGTGGTGGAGCTCTGGCATCTCTTTCATGGCGGCATGGCGTAGAAATCTTACGTGAAATAAGTTGGGAAGAAGATGATATGAAAATGATAACTCTGCCCCTATTTTAAGTGATGAGTTGGGCTGAATTTGTGAGCTTCGTTTGCCAGCTTCTTGGCCCAATAATAAGTAATAAAAGGCTAATTTCTTTCTCTCTAATGAGGCCTCAAATTGGGTCCGTCTTAATACACAACTTTCACACCGTCTTCAACTAATTTTTTACCGTTTTCGACTCCAATAATTAATTCGACCCTATTTTCTGTCAAAACTTAAAATAAAACACCTCATCATAGTTTAATAAAATTAATTAAATATATAATTAATTATAAAATAATTAATTAAATAATAACTAATTATATATCAAACTACGACGAAACGGACACAAAAATCACTATAAAATGCACGTAAAAATGACGCATATCACTTAGACGCAGTCAAACGACCGTCGTGATCCGCCTCGATTTCATCTCGCCGTCTCCGACCTCCTCCTCCACCTGGAAGCCCCGTCGAACACAAGCCGACGTCGATCCTTGTCTTTCACCTCGCCGATTAAGGTGCATCGGTCGATGGCACCTGAAAAATATATGTCCAAGGTCGTCGCCATTACTGGCGGTTTTTTTTTT